GATCTATATCTCAAAAATGCAGTAGTCCTGTTTTTAGGTATTAACCAAAATCTTAAAACAAGTTTAGCACCTCACCTTTAATCAATAAACCTCTTAGTTCTTCTTTCTCGGGCTTTTCAGTGCCCTGGCATAAGCAGGCAGACAGCAGAGATGGTCAAGTGAACTCCAAATCCTGCTCTAGGCTCTATCCTGACACTCTTTGTTTCTAACAACAGCTAATTGCCTGTACCTCAACAACAGAAAGCATCGCATTACAGTCTTCTTTTGATATTAAACACTGAAAAGACTCAAAATGTTTTCGCTTTTCCTCTCCCTGCCTACATCTGCAAGCCATCTTTGTGAAGGACAATTACAGGCAATGCAAACATGCCCCGGGAAACACATGTGAACGTACATGGTTTAGGAATCAATGCTTAAGTAGCTCTCTTGATGGAAAACCTCTCTTGATGCAAGTAAGACACTCACTCACTTTTGACGGAGCACACTTCTTTCACTCAGAAGTGATGACACGAAGTTGAACCCTCTCCCGGTATTTCCCCATGCTATTCCTGCTTGAGACTGCCTCCGATGCAAACAAGTCACACAATCAGGACACAGGGAGCTTGCTGAAAGGCCACAGGAGTCACACCTATTCATAAATTGGCCACACAGCTGGATTTCTGCATGTGAGTGATTTGTAGCGCTCAGTCCACAGAGCTATAACTTTTTAACAGGAAAAACAGGCCCAAGTGATGTACTCATCAGCTTTGTTATGCTCCAGGGAAGCTATGTGGAAGGGGAAACAAAAGAGCAAATCGACCATTTGTGACCACTGAGTATTAAAAAAGCAGGGAAGAAGCAGGCAAAATACAAACTATTGCATGAAGACATAGCAATAGTTTGCTGACATTTCTGCTTACTTCTTGATAATCAAGGCCCTTACCTTGGGGTGTTTCAAACACTAATTTAAAGCCTTATTACAAATGATCAAACAAAGGGACAATCTTGGGCTGCAGGTTTTCCTCCCACCAACTGTGGAGGGGGTGTATCTGTGCCACCCTAAAACTCCCTTACTACAAGCAGCAGCCCTAGACCCAGAAACACACCAAGAGTTTACTCACCAGCCTCATGCTTTGCCATTGACGTAGCCTGCCCAGCACAAGTACAGCAAAGCTGTTGTGACCACTGGGTCTTTCTTTCCCCTCCATTCCCTTCTTCCATACATTAGCAACATTTCTGGCCTGAGTAGATTTGTGGGGGCTGTCTCTGGGGAGTCACTGACAAACTATCTTACTAATGCCTCACAGACCCAAGTCTCCCGCAAACCTGACCCAATCTTTTGCACTTATGTGCTAATGGATTTTGTTGCAAAGATCAAGAGATGTCAAGCACAAAAGTATGAAAGTAGCTGTTATTTACTTTCAGGATTTGTACACCTTGATACTTGGGAATTTTAATATTTATCAGCCCATTTACAGAAGAAGCTCAAAGACCGACACCTTTAGCAATAGATGCTGATGTGTGTTGTCTTGCTGAATTAAATTTGACACCTGTTTTTCCAGGTAGAAAAGCTTGAACAAAATTGCTCCTATCACTGTGGATCCTGAATTGCTTTGCAGTGATCAGTTTGCAAAATCCTCTTTCGGTGCTTCACAGCTGCTCCATTGACTCCACTGAGTTCTGCACGTAAACAGTATCTCAGAAAGACCCCATAAAGCCACGGTGCTTCCATCTTGTATCCAAACCTCAGCAGTGCTCTTTTCCCCAATGCACAACCTGAAGAATAAGGCATATTTTCAGATCTAGCAAAGGTTCATTACAGGCTTAGTGCCAAGCCTACTGCAAACACCAGAAGACGACCTCAGCTGACTTTGGAAGTCTTTGGATCAGTTCTTCTAGGAAACAGATTTGTACAAAGGTAGGAGGAGGAAGAAACAGTACTTAAAAGAATTGTGGAATCAACAACAGAAATACTCCAACTGATGCTGCAAGGCTGATCACCAGTTTGCATGGCTGTGCTAAGCTTAGCAAAGGTAGGACTAGTCCCTACAACTTGAAGACATTAAATCCAGAGGCACAGAAAGCTGATCAGCAAATGCTTTTGCTTATATCAGAGTGACTTCCTATGGCTGTCTAAAAGCTGGGTTCTCATCTGAACTGGCTGACCGATTTCCTCCCTCGTACACGGATACAGCTATGCGTTGCTGCAAAGCAATTTACTGCCATCATTTGGGACCTCTGTTTTAAGGTGGAAAGAACTGGAGATACCTTTCAGCCTCCACTGGTGACAAACAGAGCTTGGATAATGACCAGAGACTAGATGCACAACTTGCAGAGGGCTAATATTAAGCAAGGGAAATCCCACCCTTGAGCCTTTTAGCTCACTCAGGGTTTACAGGCAAGTCAGCAGCCTGATTTACAGGGATAGTCTTTGATGGGTGAAGGTAAAGGTGTTGGTAATCCTCTTTCTTATCTCACCATCTTGCTGTTTGTTTTTGTACTTAGATTATCCTTGATACATAGTGACCTGGCAAACAAAGTCAGCAGTCCATGGCAATCTTGTTCAAAAAGTACATATATTTAATAATGATAACAAATACAACTTTTTCCCCTGGAATTTCCACTACTGTATTTCAGTAAGTCCCTTCTATGGTCACTGCAGTTTGACTGTACATAGCTACGGTCTAAGCTGTATACATGGTTATGTTTTAGCAGTGTAGTACTCATATATTCTCTATAAATATAATAAAAGATTCAACATTTCTGTTTTCATTCTGATTCTTACACATATTTACTGGGTTTTCACAAAAAATACATGTCTCTCTCCTGCCTGCCCCAACCTTTTATTGGGTTCCAAATAAACCTGAGTTTGTAATTCAAGTCAGTATCTGCCATCTGTTCAGGTATGCAAGTCCGACACACACGAAAGACAGGATTTCAGTGGTCCCTGCTTGCTAGCTTTGAAGCACAAACACGCTCTTAGCATGAAGAAAAAGAAAATGATTTGACGTTTTTAAACACAAGGAAGAGCTAAAACGGACCCTTGGGATGCATGGGTGCTCTGGACAAAGAAAAGATGACATAGTTCAATCTGAAAATGAGTAGAATTATTTCAGGCCTGTCTTATCATATTGGGACTTTTATGTATATTGTTTTACAGGTAACTTAAGTACCCCAGAGATGGGTCTCTTCACTATAATGAAGAGCACAAGACGCATATGGGCTCACCCGTACTGAACTGATGGGTGGGCTTCGGTGCCGAGGTGAAGGGCCCCCTGCAGAGCACCCAGAGAAGGGCTCTCTAGGCATTCTGCTCTGCTGGTTTTCCCAGCATATTGAACAGTCCAGTTATGTCTTCTGTCAGTATTTGGATTAACGTCCAATTTCTTTATTACAGATTTTGGTGTAAGGCCTGTGCTATGCTGAGAATTGGGGACATGCGCTCAGGGCTCTGCTGGCCCTCCTCCCCCAGTCTCTGTGTATATTTCCCATTAAACTGGAAGGAAAGCTTCTCAAACAGTGGTAACTCTCAACATCTGCACAGACACCAAACCAATGGGGCCACAAAATTGTTTGCAAAAATATTGATGAAAATAGGGTTTGGACTCCCACCGACGGTCTCAACCCAAAATCCCCATCTTCTAACTCCAAGAAGACAACACCTCTGCTGCCTGGGTTTTGAAATGACATTAAGTGGTTGGGCAGCAATGGGGCATAAGCAGGCCAGAGCTGCTCACTTGGGAACCAGATTGGAACAAGCTTTGTTGAGATGTCCTGTGCACACAAACACATACACAAGCGCAGCACAGACAAAACAAAGGAGTAGTCTTTGGCTAAACCTTCTGATTTATAGGAAATGGTTTTAAGACAAAAACAGAACAAAAAAAAATGTTGCCAACCTCTCAGATGTATCATTTACTTAGAAAAACACGACCAGTATGCAAAGACGGTGTCTTTTAGAAAGTTAATCTTCACCGTTCATAACAATACTGAATTTTTGGTAACCACTGCATTACCAACCTTGCAGTACAAAATGGTATTGGTACAAGTTCGTACGTCCTTTATCAGTCTTTTTAGTTCACTGCAGTCTCTCAGAAAAGCCTTCAGGTGTGTTCAATGCTGCCCTGCTTTAACAGGGACTAATGTAGGCCTGCACATAGGTGTGCCATGGAACTAGTACAGATGCCAAAATTGGAGGTGACTGGATTGTTTAAACACAGCGTGTTGCAATCTGGATTACTGTATGAAGCATCCGCTTGCAGACCCATCATATGAAAGGCCTCTAGCGCGGCGAGTTTCCACGTGATGAAACTTGGTTTTAAATAATCATGTTTCTTCTGAGTGACATCATTAAATCATCATTTTCTTTAGGGAAAAAAAAAATATTCCACTATTAGCTACTTTAGGTAATTGACAGTAAAATCTTCCAAAACTCCCACTTTTCTGAATGTTTAGATCACTCGCGTCTTTACTCAAACTTTACCAACTTCGTCTTCTTGGCAGGGTTTGTTAGCAAGTTGACTTTGGACACAGTACCTTGAGTTTTTCCACTTGCCTACGCATGTGAACAATGCCTGCAGTTGTACCACATACTGTGTAGCACAGGCAAATGGAACATGGACAGTCTTACCACAGATCCTGGATGGGACTGGCACTCATGGCACCACACAGATTACCTTGACGAATCAAACTGTTAATGCTCGCTGTTCTTCCAATCAACCTTATTGCAACACCAGATGAGAGCAGTGAAAATACACATTCACGTAGCTCTTTAAAGACATGTTTTACTGTACAGTCATACGCCAAATGCTAGTATTTCTTACCAGCACAAGCAGAGCCCTTTTCTTTCAGATTTAAAATGCAGGACAATGCCTTCTTTACAAGCACAACTCTGATTTTCCACATTGAACCACTGTGGTGTATTATATAGTGACAGTAACATGCCTGTGGCTTTCCCTTCTTGTTGAAAGTAAAAAAGGTTAGGTCCCAGAGAACAGCAGTGTAAATCCCAGTATGTCAGACTAACACTGGCCACTGACAGCATCTGCTGCATTGAAGGAAATCTGTGTGGGGCTCATCTGCTGCAGCTGAGGCATCCTCGCTTCCAGCGGCTTGTCGCTCACCGACTGCATCGTCTGGTTCCTTTTCCGCAGCATCTGTCCAATCCCCATCATGGGGAACCTGCCTCGGCTTTTAACACAGTTAGGGCTGCCCAAGGGGTTGTTGGAAACCAGCTGAGTAGGGGACACTGCTTCTTCCTTCACTGGATACACTTTTTCTTCATACGTGAAAGATAATTGGGTGGGGTGGACAGGGGATGTACTCCCTGGCTGAAAAAGTGGGGACAGTGTCCTTTCACTTGAGCTTTTGTAAGGGAAATTCATTGGTGAGCCTAAAATCCTGTACTGATGAGAGGGGGAAACTTGGTCTATTTGGTCCTCTCTGTCAACCGACTCGAAGGAATGCACAATATTCAGGATGAGAGGGGAGTCCTTTGCCCGGCCCCCGATCCGGGATGGCTCTTGCTGCGGAGACTCCTGCCTCTTGAGGAGCCGAGGGGTTCTGGGGGGCGGCTGCTGGACTTCAAGGTACTCCAGGGAGCTGGAAGTGACACAGCCCGTCTTGGTTGCCAGAGGTTCATGGAAAGGGCTTACCCCACCACTAGAGTCTGCAAAGCAATCAGAAAATGAACCAGAAGAGCAGATTGCATTTAATAGCACTGCCTTGTCTGGCTTATGGCAGACAGCGTCCAACATCACCTTTAACAAATTCGAGAAGAGCAGGACAAATGCACTAGCTGAAACAAATGGTCTTAGGGATATACTCAGAACCTAATTCCCCGATTCTCATTTGATTCTTACGTTGTTGCTTCATGGGTAATTTATCTACCACTTTCCTCAAAGGCAGGCTTAAAATGAGTAAGACAGGGACATGAAATAGAAAACCACAGATGTCTTCAGCTGTTTGTATTAATTATATCCTCTAAGGCCATGTCTGAGAAATCTCACATTTCTCCTTTTTTAGCACAACTTTGCATGGTTTTTACTGGGTCTGCATACTGTATTCACTGACATACTTAGAGACACAGGGGACAACACTGAGTTAATCCCTAATGTCTCTCCTTGCATTTTTGAACAAAATCTGTCCTTGGTTTCACACATGTAAATCTGGAGTAGTTGCACTGGCCAAATTCAGGATGTTACAGTTGGAACAGTTTTGCTGCATCTACTTCAGCAAGAATCTTCCTCCAACAAGGACCAAATATAAATGGAACAATCTTTGCAGGATTCAGCCCAGTAAAACAAAACAGCGCATGGAGAAGATCTACTTGGTTTCTACAGGATGCTGGCACAAGCTAATCTCAAGAATACACATTTTGCTGCTTTTATGGAAAGCTCTCCAAGGAGTCTGCTTTGCTAGTTTCCCCCTAATTGGAAGAATAGTGGACTGGCAGTTAATCACTGTCCACGAGTTCCCTTGGTCTCAAACCATCTAAAAGGGATATAAAATAGTTTAGGACTGTGAGCCCTCAGGTCACATCCACAAATCTCACATGTATTTCTTTTGACAGGGATGGTCTTGGCAGGGGTTGAGACCTGAATGAATGTATGGGATGAAACCACCCGCATTGAGAGTTGTCTAGGAAAAGCAGACCAGCTTTAATTTTACTAGTTTCTTTCTAAAACTGGTCAAAATTATTTGACCATTTCATTTAAGAAGTGTCAAAACACACTTTCCATAAGCAGAGAAATGCTTTAGCTGAAATCTGAATCATTTTCAGGTTTCAGTTCAAAAAAGCAGGGAGACACCTAAAAAATAAAAACAAACTAGGCTTACTTCCCCCTGAGTCCCTCTCCCAAAAGCAACAACAATCTGAACAAAATGAGCATTTTTAAAATGTTTTTTACATTTTTGACAAAAAAGTATATCCCATGTCTGACCAGCTCTCTAACTACTGCTACCTTGCAGCAGAGGTGCCCGTGCTGCCAGACAAACACCATTTTGACATTTTTTTCAGGTAGAAAGCATCAAATGATAAATTATGAAGTCATGAGAAAGAGCATAGAACTACAATAATCCACCGCTCTTAATAACCCCCTGACACCACAGTAAATGTTTTGTATCACTGCTTTTCCCCATGCTGCTGTGTAGTGACCTCCCCTCATTTAGTTCTTTCATTTAACAGGTGGCTACACCACCTTCCTGCTCCTCGATGTCTCCCATCCACATGTGCACCACCGACACCCCATTTTCCCTGCTGACTCCCCTCTGCCTCCACTCCTCTCTTCCACCTCCTTTTGTGAGCAGCTCTCACCCATCCTTCCCAGGCTGCCTCCTACCCTTCATGATTAATAACTCTGCTCTCCTCTGGCTGTCTCGTCTTCTCCTTTCCCTGCTAATGGCTTTCCCCCCTCCTTTTGCTGCCTGAAATTTTCTGGGGTTGGCAGTCCCACCTGCATTTCCTCTCAGCTGCCTCTTTACCCTCCTTCCACTGTCAGCTGCTGCCTACTGCTTCTCCCAGGGATCCCACTGTTAGCAGCACTCTCCTCAGGGGCAGGGATTTCTGCCTGTGCTGCCCCTTAGTCCCCTTTTAGTAAAACACATTCTCCAGTAGGAAGAAGCTTGTCTACCAGCTTCGGTTTGTCAGTGATCTGGGGTGGGTGTTGATGCTTTCAAAGCACGAGTGTGAAGTGCAGATGATTTTGCATAAATACGTATAAATAGGAAAAGAAAGCTTTTTTTAAAACACTGTGGGAATTCTATCAAATAAAAAAAGAAGTAAAAGTGAGGATTCATGACTGCTGAACATCGTCATGGTTTCCTTGGGATGTTTCGTTCAGTGTTTGACTAGATTACATACATACATGCTACATTACACTACATACATACATTACATTGACTACATTCACATACCACCTCCAAACCAGTCAGCTAATGCAAGCCCACGACCATTTACTAACCAAAACACAACACACAAGACACTCTCATTAATACTGCACATGCCCACGCATGCACATGCGCACAAGAACACACCACTGGTATTTGTCCCACTGACCTTTCTCTGGACCTCCAGCCTTGGTGACTTTCCGGTCCTTCAGCAGAGCCTTGGTGTTCTGTATCTGTGAGATAAGACAGGAAGAAGGCTGTCTATATGAAACTGGACTTTTCTCAATTTTCTTTGGGAGCTGACGGTGAAGAATCTCCCCTTTCTTTTCTTGTTCTTTGAGTTTTTTGTCCTTTAAGTTATAAAACAAACAAGAACAATTTGGTTTACTTAAGGGAAGTTTAAATGACCCCCAGACTTACAAGCACACCACCTACCAAAGATGAATTAAAAACTATACATTTACAAGGAACTTATCCTGGCTATGCAAAACCCCTCAATCTTCCACGTCTCAGTTTCCTCTGATCTGTTTGACATGATTTCACGGCTCCCATCTGCTCTGACATTCATGCAGTGTGAAAGTTGGCTTTGGAAAATTAAAGGAATAAGAAAGCTTTCTTTTCAGAGGCCATTAGTCCTAGAAGTCCTCACTGGTTTAAGCAGATACAGGTTTGTGCTCCTCCATACCTGAAATATACCTCTCTATTTAAGCACTGAAAAGAAGTCTTTGAATTCTCTTTATTGCACTTCCTGCGGCATTTTAAAAGGTGAGCTGCAAAGCTTTAAAGAAGTTCAAACTCTTTGAGTCATTTACCTTCTGTCCCAACAAGACACGGAGGAAAAAGCCCTTACTTTTACAGCATCTCTGCAACTGCAGAAGACATGGAGGGGAAGAAAATTACTGACATAGCCCTTCACTGAGCTCTAACTCCTCATGACGAGCAACTGAAGGGGGATTACAAGCACATACATGCTGAAAGATAGGTTTGATCTCCAGCAATGACAGAGTTAAGACAAAAGCCGGGAGTGGTACTCTGAAGAGAAATGGGAGTTTTCAAAGCACTATTTTACAGTGAAAATTCATTGTATCTTCTTTCAACATGAATCTCTAGATTCTATAAGCTGTATAACACTCTTTACCTGCCACTGATTTCAGGGGGAGGAGCCAAAAGTGTTATTTCATGAAAAAAGTCCAAGCACCAAATTTGTGGGTGCTACACCTCAAAGGTGTGCTACAGTTTGTTGTGCTACACCTCAAAGGCTTCAAGGATCTCCTGCCTTTCTGGAACAAAGCTGTATGATCTGGTTTGAGATGGCAACCTCAAAGAAGCGAGGCTTCTGGTCTAGTGACTTTGGGGTTGTTTCTGTGGCTCTGATTCTCATTTAAGCAACATGTTTTGCTGTGTCTTATTAAAAAGTCAGTGTAAGTACAAGTCTTTTTTTAAACATGCAGGAAAGCTCCTTCACCCAATTATGTGCCTGTATTTTGTCTGATAATTATGCACTGCCGAAGGGCTGGTTCTCCTGATGATTTTCTTTTGAAAGTTCATTGACATGAAGTCCACAAAAACCCTCAGATGCAAAGTAATGTGCATATATATGAGAACGGGAAAAAAAAAGAAAGAAACACAAGACAACTTGGGTTCTCTTGAAACACTAAACAGCTCTGGAAACATATTAAGACACTTAAGAGGAAAGTAACTGGACTGCATTCGTTATGTTCATTCCCAGCTCAGACACAATTCCAGCTCCCTGCACAGATGGTGTCTGGGCACCGCTGGGCTCATTAATCTTTGATTTTTCAGAAGTTATGCAGTCAGGAGGAAGAGTTTCAGTGAATCACGAACTAGAGTTTTTAGTTTTATTACAGAAGTGGTTAGGTTCTTGGAAGAGCAAGAACCAGAAACCTCTGGGAGGTCTTCACCTCAGCCTCCCTTTGTGCATATGTTTTTTGTCCCCAGCCTTCTCTCCACCCGCCCCGATCTCCTCCAGTTTCTTTCCCTTTAGCTAGCTAAAGCTGGCTGACCCTTTCATAGAAACAAACCAACACATTATGGAGCCATCATCACTTTTCTTGCATGACACCTCTTCTTCCACCTGATGCCTCTTCCCTTGCCTTTAAAGGCTGTAAACACTTCTGGCAACGAGCATTTATTCCTCTCTGCCCATGCTGAGCTTGGAACAACACAACATCTGATCCATCCCAGGCACTATCTTGGCAAGAACAGTCACATACTGATGATGATGAAGTAATAACAACAACAGCAATAATAATAATAAATCTGTGCAAATAACAACCTGCAACAAATAAGTCAGTAGGAGCTGTACAGTTAATTTTGAGCTCAATACCTTATTTTTCTCTCAAGGCTCTGAAACTCTGCTGCCAAGTTCAGCAGAGACTGGGCTCTACTGAGTATCTTTTTTTAAAGGTACTTGTGAGGATGAGATCAAGTGGTGACTATATTAAGCCTAAAGGAGCTGATCAAGATTGTTAGCAGCTTTCTGCTATTTTGGATAGGTGAGGAAAGAATTTGCATGTTGGCTGCTGCAGCATCTGTCAGAATGCAGGACATTTCAGTGCTGCAATATTTTTAGCCTAATGGTACAAGAGCGAAGCCATAGCTCCTCACCTGCCCAGTGCTCCTGACTTTGCCTTCACGCTGCTTTTATGTTTTCTAAGCAGCAGACACTCGATACAGTTAAAGCACCCATGAAAAGAGAAAATTCACATATCCAGTGTAAGCAATTGATTAGTTTACTCTGGATGAATGTTGCAAATAGTCTTATAAGTAGTTTTAAAACTTACCAACATTGTTTCTATTAGACGATGGTCATGAGAGGGGAAACGACCAAACCCCTGGACTCTCAACGTCCCACATACTATTATATTTTAAAAGGAAAGGAAGTTTTCCTTCAGTGGAGTTGTAAAAGTTCACTCTTCACTGTACCATGCACAGCCATGTAACGGCATGCTGTCACACAATGCGGGAGTTGTACCGGTATGTTATACTTGAATAGGTTTGGCATTACATCATCCTCTGCTATTTCCTGTCCTGACCTCGACCCTAAAACCTACTCCTAGTCCCAGCAACAGATTTGAAAAGAAGAAAAAGGGTATTTGCCTTGTCCATGTATGAAATGGAGATACGACAATGATACAAGTTCTCAAAAATTGCCCACTAGCTACCCTGCGGGAGGCAGGTACCCCCAGCGCTAATCTCCTGGATTTAGTGGGAGGGGGATGGCCACTCATCACCTAATGCATCTCCAGCAAAAACAAAGAGATGGGGAGAGACACAGACTGCTGCCTTCCTCCCTCCTCTCTGTGCTGCCCGTCCACCCTGAGCACTAAAATTAAATCAGCCTGCAACACAGACTGCCTCCCTAGCACCAGCAGCAGCTCCCAGCACCCTCAGCCTTGGCATGCTGACCACACCATCCCAGGTTAGGAAACCTAATGGAGAAGAGGGGCTGAGCATGACCACTGCCCGTGTGCCCTGCTGTCTGACACTGCAGGAGGTGGTGCTGCTGGCAGGCAGAGGCAGCCCCGGCCCAAGGCAAAAGTCCTTACTTCACATGGCTGGAGTGAAGTGGAAGAAATTCAGTGGGCTGGTGAAGCTGGAGCTGACCAGCAATGTCCCTGCTATTCCCATGACAACGCACAGCTACACTCTGTGCAGTGTCTGCTTAGGGACCAGTTCCCTGCTGGAAATGGGGGGTGATAAGGGGACTCTGATATCCAGAACATGAATCTGCCTGAGCTTATAAAATCCCTGCCCCTGAGTCCTGATGGCACCCACTGCAGCCAGTGGCATGAGCTAGACACTACCAGGATGTGTTCCCATAGTCAGGAAAGCATTTTAGGAGAGATGCCTACCACAGTCACAAATGGCAGTAACATCCAGGGTTCATTCATGTGTGCTGCTTCAACTGTCCTGGTACAGTAAGTGTAACATAAACTCCTTGTGTAAATAAACCTAAAGCAATATAAAACATGCTTTATACTCAGCTATGTCCATGCAAAGAGAATACACTGTATTATTATCACAGTGTCTGCACTGTGATTGCATTTCAAGAAAGAAATGACACCCCCTCATCCTCTAAATAGCTACACCGGGACTGAGTAAAGGAGGTACACAGAAGCTGTAAGGTAATGCCTGGATGGCAGGCAGAGCCATCCATGGCTCTCCATTACTGCACAGAGCAGTGACACCAGCAGCTCGAGGAAGCTGGCCCAGGGAGCCCATGCAACATCTGCAGTGCTCACCTCCAGGTACTGGCTTGTGTTTCCAGGGGAAGGTTTCCCTGCGGCAGCCAGGAGTAAGCTGTCAAAGAGTGTTTTGAAAGATTATATTCACTGAGTCTACCCACTGCTGATACAGTTAAGTAAGATGGTTTTTGATTTATGTAGGGATTGCCCTGATATTGCCATCTGGCTTGCGGTTCAACTTGTCTTGCAAGCAGCATTTAAAAGCCATGAGACAAATCTGCCCCTGCAATTAGATCATCAGTCCGGCATGGAAGAGTAGCTTTTGAAATAGGTAGGCTCATCAAGAACACTGCTCTTTGTGTTGGTAGGTAAGACTTACACAGCTCATATTACTCTTGTAATTGTAGTGCTTGGCAAAAAATCAGCCAGGGAAGAAAAATTCAACCATGAGAAGATTCCTATTATCTGATATGTATTATTTTCATACAAACTACCTTCTCTATTTGCAGACAAAAAGACTGGAGAGTGACAGAGCAAGAAGTATCCTGGTTAAATCTTTTCTCTGGCCAAGGGAAGTCCCTCATGATGCAGTAGACTAGCAAAAAATACTAACCTGGACAGAGTTTTGTTCTAATACAGTTTCATCATTTATGGTAGTCACGTCAGCACTGGCCCAGGACACCAGGAAAAAACACCTGGGAAGGCCACTATGTCTGTCACTCAGCTCTCTGCCGTACACCACCAAAGTCCTGAGACTCAATGCAACACAGTTATAGTCTTCTTACAACACCAGCAACTTGCACCCAAAGTGAAACTACAGAGCCCCCTGAAGAAGTCTGCATCGTTTTCTGCTAAACAGAGATTTTAAAGTTCTGTTTTCCTCATAAGAGCTGAAAGTCACCTTTATACTTCCATTCTAAGGAGCTGGTATTTGTTCCTTCAAAAAGAAATTGAGGAATTATTTGTCCTGCACAAGCAAGACCACAGGTCTTTTTTTTTCTCCACAGGTCCAGAAACCCATTTCCTTATTCACAATCAACACGGATCCTCAAATTAAGTCTGTTTTCAAAGTACCTTAAAAGCATTAATGAGCTTTACCTCATAGGAGTCTTTATTTGCCTTGTATTTTTCTATCTGGTATAGTTGGTTCTTGTGACAAATATTGTCCTGGCCTTCAGACTTCTGTGGAGAGAGAAGCATGGAAAAGAAAAGTATGTAAGATAATTAGAGAAAACCAACATTCGATTATGGCTTAATGAACCATATCTACTCTTGGTATTTGGTGGAAGTGCATCAACTTACAAAGGTGGTGAATTTGGTCCATTGCATTTAAGTATCGTTGATGGCATAATCGTTAAAACAAGCTTCATTGTTAAAAGAGCTGATAAAAGACAAAAACTAAGAAGCTGTTGTCAGATCAGAAGGCCATTGGGGGTAATTTCTCTGAGAACCCGACACATGAAGAAGAAAACTCCATACAACCTACCCTCCTGGCCATGCAGTCACGTAGGAGACTACAGACCCTCAACTAGTTAATATTCCTTGCCAGACCACAGGCAGCTGCGTGGAGTGGCCAAGGGAAGAAAGCGTGCAGCTTGTCTTTGTGTGCTCAGCTCCCCATGACGTACAAGGAAAGATGACATGTGGCAGCAGAGTCCTGCTCTAGAGAAAGCTGCTGCACAAACCCATCAGCAGTGCTCCTAACCCTCAACTCAGGATAAGTCAGCAGGAGATGATGAGACTTTATATTCATGTTATTTCTTATGTAAAACTTTCAGCTAAGTTTTCACTTAAAAACTAAATAAAATCTTAATAGCTTTTAAGCTTCCTCTTGATTTTTTGAATCAAATTACATTGTTACTGTTGTTTCAAGTGTCAGAATTATCTCAGCATATGGACACATTAAGCCAGAAGTCACAAGTAAACTCTGCATGGCAAAATTTGCTTTCTACAGGGTAATTGCCTAGCCAGAGGGGATCTCCTATGGAAACAGGGACTTGTGACACCTAAAGCCTATCAGCAGTTATCTCTGCAACCGGGGGAATTCTTACCTGAAATAATGTTATTAGTTTTCAAGGAATACTTTCCTTCATAGTTACTACTACAAAATTAGATTAAAAAAAACACGCCGAACAACTTGGGTAAAGCCTGGAGATCTAATGCCAGCAAGCAGGGAAACTTTTAGCACTTTCTGTACCCTTGTCACCCACATGTCCAAAGAATCGGCAGCGAGCAGTACTTACCCTAAGGCTTGCCAAGTAGCGCTCCAGCTTCTTATTAAGTAGAAAGTAGATGGCAAGCGTGTGACTTGCCCTGTTTGAGAGCACAGTGTTGATTACATCGCTGTTCTTGTAGCCGAGTTTCTCAGTCATATGGAGCAGCACGCTTTGGCTGAGGTCCTCAAGGTGAATCCTGCACAGAGAGAGAGGTAGAGCACGCCATTCGTACCATCCTCCCAGCAACAGAGCCTTACCAGCCATGGGAAACATGGTAGAGTGGGAAGAAGAGGCCTGAAAGGCTCAGTAACATGGGAGTGATCAGCTCTCTCCTCTCGTGACAGGCATGAAAAGGGTAGACTATTCAGGCACCATGTGCACCACAGGAAGCTGTGACAGCTGAACTAACAGCACTCTCTCCATCATTTCCTAACCTGATGCAAAATGGCACCATGATGCTTGGGATGCCACTGTTTGTTATCCTACATCTGACCAGTAAAGACTATTAAGATCATCTGTCTGGTTTTGAAGGAAAAGGGGTAAAATCCAACTCAGGTATCTACTACTGGCTTTCTGAAATGACCCTTTCCTTGTAATCAAACACCACTGCATTCTGCTTCACCTGTTTACAGTATTCATGCCAGAGAAAGGAGACATACAGGGCGGGTTATTGCAGCATCTCTTGAAATGGTAAAACTGCTGCTATACTCACATCACTGTTAAAAGCACAAGAACAAGATGTGTTTATGAATGTGCTCTTCTATAAAGTCTATAACAGACTCAGCCAAGGCAAGAAATGGAGTACAGCAGCATTGTGGAAAAGGCAAAGCGTCTTCTCAATCTAAGTTAAAACCAGATTTTCCAAAGAACTCTGCTCCTATTTAGACCTCTAAATGTCCTGGCCAGCTTCCCAGATGTAGCCATCAACTCCCATCCATGTCCAAATAAATGCTGAGTTTCATTTGGTTTCTAAAGGATACTCTTTGCTCCTAACATCAAGTTTAATATCTGGCTAAGGCAACTTAAGGGAGCTTAGGGTGTGGGCTTTTTTATAACCTGTCTTCCCCCTTCAAAAGGACCATTCTCCACCTTTCCGACTCCTGCCCTGCTGCCACCCTGGTGCTGTGCACCTGTGATGCGGCAGCATCGACAGCAGCTCAGGTCTGATGTAGAGGACTTATATGATGTGAAACACAGTCTGGAAAAGCTCAAATAACTCTTTTCCTTTATTCAGCATGCCTATTAACATTCGTTCTGCAGCTAAGGAAAGCTTGGGGTTGGGGGTTTTTAAGTTCAAAAGCAAAACTTATCTTGGCTGTTGCACGTTAAAACATCTGGACAGCAAAAGAAATTCAAGCAATTTCTACTTCAAGTGCTCAGCAAAATGGGAATTTTTTGCTTGCCTTCAGGGAATTTCTTTAATAAAAGCAAGCTTATAAAAAGCCTGAGAGAATATTATCCTGAAAATGCAGTTTCTGCCGTTCTTCTACCTTATCTCCATGCTCTCCCCTTTCCTATCATGTTCCTGTCTTGGGAACAGTGGGTATTACTCCCAGAATAGAGCTGCAAGAACATAGCACAGCCTCTCGATTGTGTTAATTCAGAAAGGAAGTGATTCTTTGCAAATTCAGGAGTGATATTTTTCAGAACTATTTCAACATATATTACCCATACCTGCACACTAACAAAAACTTGGTAAAACTCTGTCGAAGCTGACTTTGGTGGTACTTTCTGAGGCAAGCTCAAAAGGAGCCAGGCCATGTCTTTACAACTTTATAGGATATTTTCCCTATAAAGCTCCAGTATGACAACGTCTAAGTAGGTCATGCTTGGAGTATCAAGTAATTAAACTAAAACAATATTGTCCCAAAAAATTAAATGAAAGTAAGAATCTGTATGGCTTTTATCCTTCACAGCTCCAAAATCTTGGTTCAGGTAGAAGGAGCATCTATCTACTTTTCTTTTGATTTCAGACCAAATTATGATAAAAGTAGTGCAATGAGAAAGAAATAATGAAACTGTTGTGGGTTTGTTTGTTTTTTCAATAGCAAAGCATAGTATTCCACATTGATGTTCCCTTTAAAAGTGCTTATAACAGGAAAGGATTATCATCATCACCATGTACACATATACACATGAGCAAACAGGCTCTCTATAGTTCAGCAGTGCATTTTCTTCTTTTCTTCCATTTTATTTGCTTGCCTTTAGGAGGGAGTGATTAACGCGTGCTCCATAAATAAAGAGCATTGCACAGCTACTCTAATAGAGGCCAACCTCTTCTGTAAGTCACCTATCTAACTGCACCAATGAGCAAACTCTAGAAGGGACACTTCCACCACAACCTGACTAAAGTATGACAACTGCAAGCTAGGAATGACAGAATAGAGGCATGAAAATGTACAAATGCAGAAAAATTGTGAAAGCACATTCAAGCGCTATTTCTTTTTTTCTCTTTCCTGCAGACAAGGCGCACACAGCAAGAGAATTAAATTACCCATACAGCTCTCAGTTACACTTTCACTTAACAGATGCCATGTTTGGTACATTGATTAGACTCATTATGACAGTGATTTCATTAGCTTAATGACTCGTTCAGTTTACACTTGTTTTCCCACTCTTTACTGTACAATGTTCACATGTACCATACTTCAGTACAGTCTAATGCACCACAGAAACTCAGATTTCCTTTTGTTGGACAGCACAGTACACAAATTAACTCAACTACCCTTAAATTTGGGGCAGTAATGTTGAGATAATGGGTCTGCCTGTTCTCATTCTTATTCCTTATGAAACAATTGTTCGTAGGGGCCATCTTTATATTCTGTCCACACAGGTCTGGGGATTGCAGGCAGCTGGCCTCGCATTTGCCCTCCTCATATCGGTGCATGCCTAAAGTGATGCCTTGAGGCATCCAAGCTGCTCAGCATCTATTCAACCATATTCTGAAAGCAAGAGACCTGTTATTCTTCTCAGGTCAAAAAATGGCATAGACACAGTGATTCTCCACAATGCTGTACCTGAAAGTTAAGACACTACCTCTGGAAGGGAAATGCTTGCTGCTAAATTAGGGCATCTCCCTTTACTGTCTATGCAGAGGGAAAAGGGAGGTCAGGTAGGAGCCTGGACCATGCAGGCTGCCACCCATAAGCCAGCCAACAGCAATGTCAGAGGGAAAGGTCTCCAAAAATTCCTAAAGGCTGTCCCAAGATTCAGGGTTCAAACTGATTTCCCGTGCCCAGATCTTAGCACGATCAAGCAGTGGCAGTACCCATCACCTGTTTCATCAGTAAGAGATGGGTGCTACGGGTGATTCTCAGCCCCACAGAGGCTGGACCCAGGGGTTTGAAACAAACCCTGTTCATCTGACTAGCAATGGAGCAGAGGTTGAAAACGGGTGGGAGGCACTCTTGCGAGCAAAGCTGTGACTTGGACTGAATGCTGAAGGTTTGCTGTTTGCATGGCTTGAGCACGTCTATGGGACTGAGCCCTTCAGGGCACTGACACAAAGAGATGACCTGGTTCATGAACACCAAATTGATTTTGGGTGGAGGACAGCGGTTTGGACATTCAGACAAAAGTAACTCATCACCTGTAGGCATATGCTACATCTGGTATACGGCAACTGAGTAAACTGCAGGGGGGAAGTTAGGATCTTCACTTAGAGACTCTCCTCTTAGCAAGTTAGGACAGAAATTTTGGGGTACTACCAGATTTTTAGCACCAAAATTAGGCTTTAAGGTCCTTGTCTTTGCCTCAGTGCTACTTAGGATGTTGGCCTGCAAGCCAGTAACTCCTCCAGTGAATCTTCTGCAGGTACTAGATTGTGTATGAGACATAGCTGACGGGCTTTGATACAGGAAGAAGATTTTATCTGATCAAATATATACACGTATTTCTAAGTGAGCTGCTTGAGGCTCTGTTTACAGTCACTGGAGAGGAACTCAGATCTCCTGGGCACAAAGTCATCCTATTGCAGAATCAAAAAGAAGTCACATGAATCATTATAAAAAAAGTACCCTTATTCATCTCCATTGACTGTAATGAGAGCCCAGGCTGGCTGGCTCATGTGTCAACTCTACACCGCAGATGTTTGAAGTCAAGCAAGATTATTTCTAACCAAACCAGACCACAAGTATCTTTCTTTTTCTTTTCCCCTAAATGGTTGTTTGACTGTCTGTGAGATTTGTTTTCTGCTTGCATTTAGTCATGCATTCAGCACTGTACAGGTATTTAAGGTCAACAAGCAAGAAAGCAAGATCATTTAACTCTCATTTTTCTCACCATGGTTTGCAACCTCACGTATTTATCACAAATAGGCATAGCTTCTGCTGGAAACGTAGCTTGGCTTTTACTGACAAACAAGGAGAAGATCAGAACTACCTGTCTCATGTTCCAATTCCAAGGTCTGGAGCCAATTACTCACATGATCTACACCCTAGACCACCCTGCAAATAACGCATCATATGCCAGCTTCTAATTTAAGGTCTTGGGTTTGACCATTTCAAGCAAAGCATATTCAATGGCCAATCCTAACAACTTCTAGGATGGAGTCACAAAAGCAATCCCAGAAAATGCACTGGGATGCTGTCACACTAATGGAACTGAAACATCAGAGCTATCCATGTTTTAACATATATAAGGTACATACACCTGGCAGGCTTTCTCCACTCTTTCACACAGTACCTGTTTGGATATGTGACATTAGGTGGTGCTCTTCCAGGGTAATTCTCATTAAGCCATCGATTTGCAAGTGCCTGCTGTATGTTTGGTCTCTTTGCAGGATCTGGTTCTAGTAGAGATCGTAGAAAGTTTATGGCCGCTGTAAAGAAATCAAGAAAAACACCCCAATATGTCATCTGCTGAGTTACTAACAATAGCTGAGTTACTACAGCTGACCAAGAGTATACTGAAAAGGAACATTTTCCTTACAGTATGCTCTAAAGTTCTTGTGAGAAAAGGAAAAACTGATAAGGGATTAGTAAGTAAAATAAACAATGATTTATAATCACAATGATTTATGGAGTCATGAAAGTGAGGAGAAAAAGCACCTTTTGTTTCAGAGCATGTCTGAAGTTTACGAGCAGGTTAGCCAAAACTTAAATTTTTGTCTGAGTACAAGAGGGTGATGACGGGTCAGAGGCAAATCACCCAAACTGTGTTTAAAGTAGAAGGAGGTGGACAAGGGGTGAGTGGAGGGGAGAGGAGGGATGCAGAGCTAGGAGGGAAGACATGGAGGTTTGGGCACCCTTTGACATTATAAGGACAAATTCTCTCCTGGCTTCCATCCAACCTACAATCATTTGCAGGAGGTTTTAGCCAAATTAAAAGAGTGCAGTAAAATTAGTAGGCTTCATTCTGTTTTCAGATACTGAACCTTTAACTTTCAATGACATTCAACCATCCCTCAGGATTTTCTTGCAAAAGCTCTCCGAAGTACTCTTCTGATACTTCTAAGTCATGTGCTTCTTACATGATTAAGAGCAATGAAATCAAGTGATCTGCTTAAAGACACACATGAAATGCCTGTGTGAGCTGAAAATAAACTCTCTTTTAACTAGGACTGGTCTTTATTTCTCAAATTATCAAAGCTAGATTCAGTTTATCAGCTTTTACCACCTTCTCCCGCAGCAGAGCTGCAGCTTCCCTCCTACGCTCTCCTGAGCGTGTCGTGTCTACTCATCTCCTTACTCACACAGGTACCATGGGTAGTGGCAGCCCAGGATCTCTGGGACAGTGGACAGTGTCCGCCGGGATGTGTCTTCTGGGCGCAACACAGCCAACACAACTACTTCAGATCAGTGCAGGCAAACCAGACCCCTTAAAGGCTTGTGTTACAGATCAAACTGGATGTACTAATGCCTCAATGCTAGAAAACTGCAGTATTATGAGCTGGTCTTCCCATTCACCTTTACAGGTGTTTGGTCTCATTGCCATAGCATGCTCACACAGCACCACGCCATCCCCTACTCTGAAGCAGTGCAGCCACAACTTGTCTTCTCCACCAGCGATACAGCAAAACCCTTCTGAATTCCTGTTCCCATGTGCAACTTAAGGAGAATAATATGCCTGCTTCTGAGGCCACGATGTCCTCATCCGAAAAGGGCATAAACACTACCCTAGGCACAGTGCCGCTGCCCTTCACAGGTTCTCTCCATGAGACCGCTGCCCTCCTCGGTGTTTGCCTGGCTGTCCTCCCGAGCACTTTTATCTCCCCAAGCCCACCCACATCACCTCCCACTCGCACTACAGGACAGGACAGCTGGGCTGATGCACCAGGGCAGGGCAGCCGATGAGTTTCTCCTCTTGTGCAGTAGGTGCCAGCTCCTAACAACTTGGGTAATCTTGGCATTCAATATCCTGCAAAAATCAAGTATTAGTCGGAAAGGACCCTGGGAGACTACACATTTCAATGCAGGCCTACCATTAAGAAGCTTATCTGTGGAAGAGTGAGAGTTACAATTATGTATTTACTGCTAGGCATCAGATGTATTTTTTCTAAGCTTTCGCTTCATAAATTGCTGATTTATGTGAGATAATTTACTTAAATATTTCCAAAAAAATTTCATTATTTTCCCACAACAGCGGAATTGTGGAAGCAGCAGGAAAAGCCTGTAATATCTAAGTTCATAAACCTGGAAACTAATGCTACAGCTGCTCTCTGCATGCTCGAAGTATAACTCTTGGGTATGGAACCCTCATTATGGCAAACAACAAAGCCCTTGTTCCTTCATTTCATCTCCTTTCTCTCCAGCACTTCCCCCATCTCTGTGTCAGAAACCATGTGCATCCCACAGGCTCAGAGCAAAATAAATAACCCTTCCCCAAACCAACACCTTCCCCCTCCATCAACACCATCCTTGGTCCTCAAATCAGCTAATGTCTCCTTAAAAATCTTACTTTCCCCCACCCGCCTTGGTAAAAGGCAGACTAATTAAGTGAAGCTTGTGAGGTACCATGGAGATCAACAGATCCAGACTGACAGAAACTAATCCTAGAGAGAAGATTCCCCCCCGGGAGGCTCCCTGGCCAGCCAGACCCTGTCAACATAGAGGAGAGGAGTAACAGCACCTTGGCTGACTTGAGCTGTTGGATGGCAAGAGAAGAAGCCTTTTCCAGTTAGCTGAATGGCTGCGGGACAGCGAAATTAGTCCCCCAGGGAGCAAACATGAAGCTGCCCTGTCAATTTCTTGACCCACTGCATCTGAAGCCATTTTTTCTGCTGCCCCAAGTAGGCTGGTGAACAAAGGGCACTGTGAACTGCCCCACCAGGTCCTCATTATGTGAGGCCTCGTTTATGACAAGCTGGAGGACAGCACTAATCTGATTAGCTGGTGACCTGCACTCAGTGGAATTCTGTTCCCACGGTGTAACTTTGAACAAACTTTTGTCTCTTTTGACAAATGAGACACCAGCATCATGGGAAACTACATTTCCCTCTTGACTTCCTTGAGTGTACTGAGCTCAGTGCTGACCAGGAAAAAAATGCACTTCAGGTGGGGATTACAAGACCTGTGCCATCTTCATTTTCCTTCTCATGAATGAAACCAACTTAGTGTCTTGTTCACACTGTGAGGGTATGCCTGGCTATAATTAGTTATGCAGGTATTGCTTACAAAACTGTCTGGAGAAAAGGCAACGAGGTTATTTCACAAGCCATGAGTGAGCTCCACCTAATAAAATCCTTCCTCCAAACTACAGGGATGGATAGACGATGGCTTTTCTTCTTGTCTCCACTTTATTTCCCTGTTCCCGAAGGAAGACCATGTGCATACAGAAGCTGTAAAATGAGGAAAAAAGGAATGTGTGCAAGGGGAATACCAACTTCCTGAGCAACTGAACTCTGCTCACCTAAAATCAATAATCAGATAGCTGTGTTGTTTAAAAAGCTTAATGAAAAATGGTTTCTTCAATGGGAAAATCAAACACTAACTACAAACTTTCCCTGTTGCTACACACTTGCTTTGGGTGCTCATGGTTACCCAACATTTTAACTAACACAAATAAAATATACTCTTGCTTAGTGATAAGACTGGCTACTTTTACGATGAGCCTGTGTGTTCAGTTATCTGTGAAATTAAATATTGAAAGATAACATACTGAGCAAGCAAAACAGACTCCTGCAAAAAATCTCTGTATGTGAATTTACAGAAAAAGAAAACCCAATTAAAGAAAAAAACCCGTAAGTATAAGAAGTTAACAAACACAACAATTTGCAGAGCAGAAGAGCAGAGTTTCTACCTACTGACCCATAGCCTAAACATGGCAAAAACAAATGTCATCTTAAATCACAGTTTTCCATGTCAGTGAACGCAGAAGGCCACTGACTTAGATCAAGAACCGATGCGTACCTTTGTGCACAGTGAGTAAAAGGTTAACACATTTAAATCTATTCCATTAATTTGACACCACCTCTGAAAGTTCAAGCTGCTGTAGTTCTCACAGGGTAAACAAAATACTGTTTTCACTGAAGACCATGGTGTCAGTGAGCTACAAATGCTTCAGAGAGGCATTTGTGAAAAAATGTGATCTCCGTTATAAAATGGTAGGATGAATGAAACAGTAAAATGAAACCTGTCAAAAATAAGGTTATCTTTTTTCCTACCCACAGTCTGGTCTTCTACAGGCCTTTTGTGGGTGATTCAGCCTTTAACACATGAGTTGTCCCAGTTAAGTCAGTGAAATCTCCCACTTAAAGACAACTGAAAGAAAATAATGACTGGGGAAACAGTCTATCGGATCAAAGACACTACACAGCCATCATATAACTGCTCTTTACTGGTAAAAGCTTCACTCTGGGAGGTAAGTTCAGTAAATCTTTTGCCAAACTTGGAAAATGTTTACTATGACATGCAAGTCCCTGAATTCAAGAGTAACTTTGCAACCGATGCAGGATTTGGCATCCAGATCAGTACAGCACAAAGGAGTCAGTATAATCTTTCTTTTAATTTACTCACTGGGCCTTTAGAGCATGTGCTAGAACATTAAAATAGCCATTTTGTGCAACTGAATCCTAACGAGAAGTCTCCAGAATGGAAATACCAAGCGCTCTAATTGCATCAAATAGACAGCAAGCCTTGCGGCATCCCAGCTCACTTGTAAACCTACCACTTTACAACATGCCAGCAATATGAACTGCTGGCAGGAAAAGTGTACTTCATACAGATGCTGAGTGAACAAGGAACAACATGCTCTGCTTGATCCGCGAATAAACTGTGTGAGAAAACTCTTAATTACCTCCTTCTTCCATATGAAGCTAAATCTCTAGTTGGAGAATTCATCTTGTGAGACAACTTTTAAGGGCTTTTTCTTACACCCTGTAATGACAGTTGTACCCTTAACGTACTGAGTAAAAATGTATTATCCATTACCCTTTTTCTACTTGCAATCTTTTAATTTTATTGAATGTTCCTTGTAGACAGGCTGCCAGATAAGGAGAACAGAAGCTCTCCATGAACAAGAAATTTAGCATACAAAAATAAAACCCAACTACAAAACAGAGTTTGTTCCAAATGCTGACAACGGTCTTGCTATCAGCTGAAAAATTATTCTGTTGCTTAGTGACATGGCTTTGAAGCAGGAATTAATATTTCTAACGTTAATACATCAACAGTTTCGCATTTTGTGAACACAGAAAGGTTATCATAGGTTACCATCCCAAAATAACTTTCTGTGTGCATGTCATTATTCCACAATAAATGTGAAGTCATTTGAGGTAGCTTATCAATCAATCCTAGTCACAATAATGCCCAGGAATCTGTTATTCCTAAACAACGTGTTCATGCATCCATACCCTATGCTAAAATCATCTAAACATGCAAAACTGACCAACTACTCTACAAAAGGAATTTCACAGAATTTCCCAGGCTTGCTCCTCTCTCGTATTCAGCACAACTCGGCACTTTTCCAGTTTACGTACAGAAGTCAAAGCAAAAGGAGTTATAGTACAGCAACTCCTGCAGATCTTTTGGAGGCTAACATGAGGAAAAGAAGTATTTGTCACAATTAACATGCCATGCCAGCAGCATGACTCACAATCCAGAATTCAACACAATAGCTCTGGCCAACTGGATCTGAACAGGTCCCAGCACACCCCCTTGATTACCTGAAGAGAGCTGGGTGGGAAAAGGGTTCATTTCTTTGTCCACCATTTTCTGGTATAAAGCTCTCAAGCTGAATGGCTCAACAGTAAAAGGTAACGTTCCAGTCAACATTGCATACATGTTCACCCCACTAAAAGAGAACACATTGAAAAAGAAACCAAAATGATCAGGAACAAGTAGAAACTTAAGCTTAGGTTTTAGTGACTGTACTTTATCTTTAATGTCTGACAGCTGTTAAAAAAGACCAAAAAAGCTTTCTCTCTCCTGCTGCACACAACAATCTGGGGAGGAATTCCCAGAGGTTTGCTCATGGAGGTCACACAATGTGTAGGACATAAGCTGGGAGCCTCAGAACTGAGCCCAGCTCTTATGCAACTCCTCAGCTAAATGCCACACCACAATTAAGTGTCTCCTTAGGCTGCATAAACATGCTGCTTTTGGAAGCCTTATCCTGATGCTGTCCTGGGTGAGGAATGATTGCTGACACCAAGATGCACATTGCAGGTCCTGGTTTAGCACCCAAAAGTGACCTCCATGGCCTCTGATGAAGACCAAAGATCAGGTGTGAAAAATTACATTTTTCAAAGCAGAAAACTTACTGCTTGTTTATGCCTAGCAAAGTCAGTGCTGAAAAGCGCGTTGGCCATTCGTGGTCTTTTTCCTCTTAAAAGGGCTTTAAATTCAGTTTGAGTGGAACTTCTCCCTTTTGGGAATTTGTCTGCTAAATACATGTATGTGAAGAGAAAGAAACTAAACTGGTGTGCGATCGTGAACTGTGATCACAGACACCATTTTTTCAGCTATGGGGAAGGATAGGAGTTAATAATATTTTCTTTTTCTAGTTAAAAAAGCAGGACACTATTACTGGAGAAATGTAAATGGTTTACAAGAATGACTGTGCTCTGTTTGCCTGCATTCCTCAGCGTTGGTACTGTCACCCTTGATGTGGACGGATGGCCCACTGCTGGAGTGAGAAACTCAGTGCCATACAATGATTTAGCTGTGGATCTCCTAGGAGGACAGACTGCAAACTAGGCTTCAGCAGCAGAAGTTCTAAAGAGCCCTGAAGTGCAACAGGGGACCCACTAGGTCAAATTGAGAGATTAATTTAACCCAGGTTCTAGTCTAATTTATAAACTCTCTCTGCCAATCCTTCCTAGCAGTAGCAGTGCTTATACAGTGCTTCACATTTTCCAAGCATTCCAAACACTTCAACTTGGGAACTACCTTAATTCTGTTATTTGACTGAAATTTATACAAATGTTATTAGCCCCAATTGGTGCGGGAAAGTCTACTGCTACTAAAGCGAAAGCTAAAACTCGGCTGATTTCAGCTAATTCTTCTCCAGGACTGACAAGGATAATCGACATCATGTCCATGGCTAACAGGAGGGTAGTAGGAATTGTACAGTCTGTAACAGTACTGCAGGCAAATTCATTGACTCCAAAACATCTTTGTAGTCTCTTCTACTTCTGGCACTGGAGTCTTCTGGCTGCTCTTCTGCCTCAACACTAGTAAGCTCACAAAGGCTCACAAGTTTTCTGGCCATTTCCATTCCTCCCTTAACGACCGTGTTTTCAAAGTGATGACTCGACTTGATTATCACATTTCCTGTCAGACTTGACTGTGGATAGTACACAGAGCCCACATGAATGCTTGAGGATCCTCTGGGAAAAACAAAAAAAGCTGTTGGCCCCCTTATGCTAGAGCCATGTCTTCTACTGTGTCTGAACATCACTGATAAACAGCTGTGCTTTACTGCAGTCTTTCTACGCTTTACGTTCTAGCAATCTATATACAGGTACATAAAAGATGTATTTCAGAACAAAGTATCTGCGAAATTTAGTTCAGATGGTTATGCTGATTAAACAGATTGTCTTGCTCAGAGTAGCCAAATACATGAATAACGTTTTTCATTTGAGAAATGGGTAACGATAACAGTAATAAAAATTGCAAACTAGAGAAGTAACTCACATGGACCAAACGTCTATTTTGGGCCCATACTTCTTCCTTGCCAGAAGTTCAGGGGCTGCATATGCTGGGCTCCCACACTGGGTGCTGAATGGATCAGAATAACCCAAGATGCCTGCACAGTTGCTCAATCCAAAGTCTGTGAAAGGCAGAGACAGAGTTATGAAAGAGACAGATACAGTAAAACCACACCAGAACACAAGGGAAGAAAAGCACATTTTTTTCCAAAAGCCAAGCAATGAACTGCCTAAGAAAAAATATCAGCCAGATGCAAAAACTTTCTATGATTTGTTTCTCTGAGGTGCTAAATAACCAGGTATTTCCACAAACAATTAAAAAAAAATAAATCTTAGAATATGCAGAGTTATCAGTTTCATACACAAAGCAACTACATTTCACTGGGAACTTGGATGGCAACAACCAGAGTTAAGCTTGTCCCAGGCACTATGTGACATGCATGGGGCAGAAAGCCACCTCGGGCTGTCCTGGATTCCATACTGCTGTGTTGTGTTGTGCTACATTATGTAGAGGCTGAGTTTAAGTGAGATTTCTTCAAGATTTTCCTCTAATTGTGCAAATGAACTGTAAGATGCAAGAAGTGTGTGTGTGTGTGTGTTTCTGGGACTACTGTGGCAATGCACAAATTAACAGGGTTGGAAAGTCAGCATTTCAGCTCTGAAATAACACAGAGAAGTCTTGAAGCAAGAAGGCGAATATGTTGGTTTGGCTTCTCCCTGCCTGACTTCTGCCTTGCATTACTGTATTTCTGGGCCCCGGGTGAATCTGTCACTCTGTAGCTGGCAATAATAAAAAGGGACTGGCAAAGGCTGGCACCATGAGCTGCTGGAGACAAGAGGAAGCCTCTCTGTATCAAAGGAGGCTGCAGTTTCCCAAGTGCTCTCAGCCAATCCAAGACCAGGCTGGCGCCAAGAAGTGTGTTCCCAAAATCTCCCCATGTCTGCTCCAGTGCTGGTACGCCTGCACGTTGAGCTGGGTTTAGGGAAGGATCTTAAGAATTAAACAACTAGTCAAAGAAATAAAGGTAGGCAATGTGCAGGCAGCCGAGTGCAAGCCCACCCTGTCTAGTGGTAGCCCATGCTTGGCTTGGGAGAAAGCAATTATGAAACCACAGCTGATATATAAGGCGAGAAGAGGTTGCAAAGGGTCTGGAAATTGAAATCAAACAACCTGATGTGATAAGGGGAAGAAGCAAGACAAGCTTGTAAGAAGGAAGATGACATGGGCAAAGCTGACAGGCTGGGAGAACAGCCTTTGCTGCAGGGCAACATCCAGCAGTAGTGGATCTAGAGAGGTCACAATCCAAGATGTTCTCATTTATTAATAGCTTGTTATTGATGACAGCTGCAACAACAAAAATACTCCTATTAAGAACACTGATATCTGGGGGTTTTTTATCCAGTCTCCTTAAGAATTCCCAGAATACATGTGTGTTTAAAATTGTAACTGTCTTATACATAGATGAGGCAGGCAGGAGAAGCAGACTGCTGAATCCTCTTCCTACAGGCTTGTGTCTTGCATCCACATGTCTTGTAAAATAAAAGGTTTCTGGGTGTGTTACCCACCTGCCTGGCTGGGCTAAAAGCATCAGATCTAGCAGGCTGAATGTGGCTTATGCAATACTCTCTCTCCACAGAGTCATTAATTTGGGTCTCTCTCCCTTATCTGCCTACTTATTTGCAGAAGATTTGAAGTAATGGCCTGTCCTTTAGTTTTTACCCCATGTTAAATTTGGATGAAATCAGACGGGAGTTCCTCAAGGTATTAGAAGTGCACTGTCAGGGCACCCCCATTAGCCCTGCTCCTTTACAAAACTAGGCAAAAAAAACTATAATGCCTACAAAAAAAATGCAATTATAAAGATGACTATGTGAGCCGGAGTGCCCAAATGGTTGCATAGTGCTTTCCACTCTACTGGCTGCGCCTCTGAGAGCGAGACAAGCCCAAGAGACAAGAATCACCACATTTAACATCTAAAGAGGCTCAAAGAGGTTTTGCTGGAGAACACTGTCAAAACAAGGGAGGATCAAGACAATTTCCTTGTCTCTGATAGAAAACAGTTGTTTCTGGACACTGCTTAATAATTTCTGCTAGATATGTATTATCCCTGGGTCTTATACAAATACTTCCGAGGATCCATTTACTTAATTAACTTAACTTACTTATTAGCTTTGGCCTGAGATGAGTTACATCAACTGTAAAATTATTTTTAAAACTCCTAGAAATAGTATCTCCACACAGTACTATTCGTGGCCTTTACTCTGCTGTGTCACACCACTTCAAAATTACTTGACTGCAATGTAACATTTTATAACTCAAGTATATAAGGGCTATATTCTGTGATGGCGCAAATCAGCACCGCTTTATCATTATCATTGGAGGTATACTGCAGTGGAGGTTTTCATTCTCCTACTTTTTTCGGCTCATTCATTTAATCTAGGCTGGTATACCCTTTTCTTCTTTTTCCGAGTTCCTGTTGAAATGCAGAATGCACACAGACATCCTTAATGGGGACAGGGATTTTATCGCAAAAGAAATGGCAATATTGTTATTAACACTGTGGTAGCACATTGTGATTGCAGTGTGGTTTTTATTAAGGATGCACTGCTGATCGTGATAAGGATGGTATTCCTACCAGCATTGATAATTTCACTGCCATTCCTGCCTCTGTCTGAGGCTTCCTTTCAAAAAGCTGAGCTAATTACAGAACCCAGATCAAAGGCCACACTTGGTTTTCCAAAGTAAATATTGTGACATGGAAACTCCACCACCCCCACTGTTCGTGCTATCGAAGTATCGCAGTACACTACTCCTCTTTAACGCCTCCAGGAGATCAACATTAAACTATGGATATATAGTTATCTCAGAAGCTGTGACAGTTGGAATAGGGCAAGAGCTATTAAACAACAGAAGCTTTAGTACCAAGCTCGTGGATGAGTGTGACCAGAAGAGCTCCATAATGCTCCGCAGGGTGCCATAGGTCCTTGAGCAGGACACCAAGGACTCTGCATGGCCCATGAGTGGCTTTTCACAGCATCTTTTATCAGACACCTAACACTGTGGGCGGGTAAGACGAAGAGAAGTGAATTATTTCAACAGTTTCCAATCCTAATGTTCTTAGATTTGAGACTTGACAGACAGCTAAGAATAAGTTCACTTAACACAGCAAAAGGAGTTTTTGTAATAATGCTATCTAAGAACATACTATAAAACACCTTGTCATGTAGCTAAAAAGAGTAACAAAAGCAAGGTGCCATAAAGCAGCTGGGTGAGGAAAGGGATTCAAGGGATTCAGTTCTCACTGAAATGAACAAACAAGCAGGGACTTTCGATGTTACTTCCTGGTACAGTTTTAATCTTCCTTTCACCTTTACTTTTTTCTTTATGGTGGGTTTTCTTCATTCCACAGTTATTAGAAAAGCAACATTTTATTGGGTACTACTAGTGTGTTTGCTGGTGCACAAGACACAGAGGCCAAGCTCCCACCCTAAAGCAATTAATGTAAGATGGATTTGTAGATTAAAGTCTCTTCTCCCAGGTATGAAAAGCAGCACATAATTCCTAAACATGTTCTTTGCTCCTGAAGAATCTTCCTGGATAGAATATGTGATGACACAACTGATCCAGCACATTTCTAGAAAGACACTACCTAAAATGCACTAAGCGCTGAATGAATGGAGTATGGGGACAGGCAGGGTGGTGGAAGAGGAGTAAATTATCTGGGCTATTCCACCAGCCACAGATGGGCACTGGAAAATTTTCCTTGTCCTGGGAAACCCTGATGGCAACGGAAAGCTGTGCAGCAGCTCGACCACTGCTTCTGCTACCACCTGGAAATGAGGTGCCGGTGAGAAGAGGTTGCCCAGGGACCTGAGACTGCTTCCCACAGTCCCTGCTCCAGCTTTCCCCACAAGCGTAGCAGATGGAGCATGAAGAACAGAGGAACTGCTTCTTCACGGTGAACAACCAGAGATCACCAGCATCGCTAGCAAGATATGGCATGAGCTGACTGTGATACTGAGTCTGTTTTGACTTACAGCAAACTTATTACTAATAAAGCAACCTTTATATTTCTATAACATACCCAGTTGGATGGTGGGATTTAACTGCTTTGTTTTAAAATACATACTGTGTGCAATCTGCTTTGCTTAAAACATCAGGCTGCAGACCTGAGGACAATTCATTTCAACTCTAGCAAGGCTATGGAAGATTGAACTGTCTCTTTTCTCTATTCTTCCCACACCACCCACTGCGCGGAGACCTTTCTGTGCAACTGAACCAAATGAAACTGTAGGAACAGTTCTGAAGTAATTTTCTGGCATGTGAGTTTTAATTGTACGTGTATCATCTGATCAGGTCTAGACGTCAAGTTCAGATACTGTTCTGTAATCAAACACCCAATAATGGTAAAGTTATAGAAATTCTTTAAATCTATCAGATGTTCATACAACTCTGTTGCAAACCATCTGGTCTCACTTATCTGCTAAATCAAGATAATGGGTGGTATCCATCATTACTGATGAATGATTCATGGTAACATATCGGTATCCTCTTGACCCACAGCTGAGGTAATGCAGAGTTCTCTTTTGCTATTATTTTCCCAGAGTCAGTTGATTCGCTACAGACCAACGACTAAAAATCTGGGTAATATTTCCAAAGACTGAATTCTTTAAGTAATTTTATAATATTTCAGATTTCATTAACCATCCTCTTCTTGTTTGTTTGGAGATGCATGTGCTTGATACATTAGTGTGCATCCATACGACCTGAATGTTAAGTGTTTTTCATCACTTTTCAAATCATGAAACCTTTCGAAGAAGGAAAGTCAGTCAAGTTTTAAGTCTGCAACCACAGATCCTGCTATTGGCAGAAGTGTAGGCATGGAGATAAATACAAACAGATGTTTGGGGTTTATTTTATGAAGGGAATTTATTCTTTTCAATGCCCACACTAACATTAATGGGAGTTACGCAAAGGCAGCGAGACTGTACCCACCAATGATGAACCTAAAATGTCTGCCCAGCTTGAATGAATCGTGCGCTGCATACAACTGATACCCAAGTACAATCAAGACTCTATCGTTGATCTTTTTTATTTTTCAACAGCCCTCTAAACCAATTTCATAGTGGGTGCTGGAAGCAAATTTAACGAATATAAATATAGGACCAAATTTTGCCAGCTGCTAAAAATGTGTGCAACTCCCACTGACTTCGGTGGAAGCATATGCATATGGGGGCAGAATCCAACCTTAGTAAATACGGAATTATCAAGATAATAAAATAAATTACTTCTGTGGTGTCAATTCTTTAATTCTTTACAAAGTTCCTGACTTGAATACGAAAGCTGCTGGTTAAAATATGTAGGATTATTCCCATACCCATTTAAAGCTGAATTATTTGGAACATTTTTTTCACAAGATGCTGTCAGGAACAGCTTGATTGCTATCTATACTCTCTCAGCTCCTCTCTGCAGCAACATTAGCAGTTGTCACATGGAGGATTATGAAGTCTCAAAACCTCTCCTTATAAAACTACCAAAAAATTAAAACTGGTTTCATACCAATAAGCTTGATATTGTTGTCTTCATCTAGCAACAGATTCTCTATCTTCAAGTCTCTGAAAGAAATAAAATATTTTGAGTGAGTCTCCAAAATAATGAAGCAGCTTCCCAACGCTGTTATCAGTGTATTTACAGGATTCATACATAATTATGTGTATAATGAAAGCAGCACACGCAGTTCTCCAATTCAGAGCAGAAAACCCCATGCATTGTCTCCTCTCCAGAATTACCAGTGCTTTCACACACAGTTTCAGACCTATTCTTCAGGCACAAAATGACTTTATAAATATTTGTCAGTACATCCTGCAATTAATCAGGTTCTTCAAATTTCTCACATACTTAAAATTTTGCAGAAATCTTAATACACTGCAAACATCTCAAATACGTGTTTTTGGAATTCGAGGTCACTTTCTCATTACTCTTCACAACCAAAGGCTCTTCACTGGTCACAGCTGAAGAATAAACCTTCTTCTGCAGAGATATGATGAGTCAAACATCTGTCCTGTGCTACTGTCTATAGGGAAACCAGAATCAAATTTCTCTGGGGATGAAGCATACAGACTCCTTATAGAGGTGGTCAGCACTGGTACTCCCATATGCAAGAGGCGAAAACTGAGTCTGAGGGATTGAAACGACATCCAGAAGGCCAGTAACACAGCTGGAAGCAACAGCCACACAGGTTTTCTGAGTACCACAGTAGTGCTTTTTCCACTGTACCACCCTCCTTGACCCCACAGAGCCACTGAGCAGATCAGGGCCTGGACCAGTTTCAGGAGACAGAGGGTAAAATGAAAGTGGTCTCCTTGTACAAGATGACTTGACCTGTCTTCTGATGTGTAATTCAGAACATTGTTCACTTTATATGTGAACATTCACCACTTAAGAACATGGTTGCACTTTCCTAATGTTGGATATACATGTTCTACCCAAGCAAAATACCCAGAGATCACACACACACACACACAAAACCGACCCCAAACTAAACATTTAGTATAATACGAAAAATCATTTAGGTTGCTACATTTCTCCATGACTTCTAGCAGTTGGCCATGTCTTTATCACAAGAATTCTTTCCCCACCCAGACATAAAATATTTCTGACAATGAGTGTGCTGGAATATCAATAGCTCAGGCTAGAAGCAGTGATGCTTCTCCCAGCACACTTTGGAAAAATATGGATAATAAAGCCATCAGCTATAATTATGGGAAGTTAGTGACATCCACGGTATTTTGCCTTTGTAAGGCAAAGGGAGTAATGAAGGTTGCCCCTATTACAGATGAAGATATAAAATTTAATAAAATTAGACAAGTAAACCAACCAAACCAAACAAAGTACTTCCACAAGAAAAGATATGGGAAAGAAAGAAAAATAGCTGTAATCAACTACAAGCCTTTTTTAAAAGGTTCCTCTCTGTTTCAGTCTATGCCCATGCTGCATTTCAAATAAACCTGAGGCAGAAGAGTACCCGCAGGTAGGATGCCACTCACTTCATTAAAATGACCACAAGGACTTCTCGAAACAGATGTTTCTACGCACCAGTGATCATTTCTTGCAGATTTTCCTTGCTTCACATGGAAAAAAAATAGGGGAAATAGTCTATAAATCTACTGAAGGAGAATATTTTGCCAATTTCAGGTACCATGGGGCAATATCCAGGCTTTCCTAGAGTGTTCAGGTGAACACATCCTAAGGAGAGGACTGCCTTCTACACCAGTCCTCTTCTTGGAGAGGCAACATAACTCGGACAATAAAGCATCAGCCTCAGACACAGGAGGAGGGGATTATGTTTCCTCCTTTGGCAATAACCCAGTGTGTCGACTTAAGGAAACCAGCCACATTAGAAGTGACAGCTAATTTCAAACACCATGGCAGAGATTCAACCACATTTGGCCATGTTTTGACCAAGACCCAGCCGACAAAGAGCCCACTCTCCAGCCCTGCTCCCACTCCAAGGGTGAGCACCAGCTCATGGCCGTGCATCCCATGAGCCCAGCTGATATCCATGGTGTCCCACTCCTCATCCACATGTACCCCACGTCCTCCAGAAGGAGCTTCCCTTGTAAGGCAACCACTGCTGCTGAAAAATGGCTTCATACAAGGAGGCCATGCCCTGCCAGATGGATCCAGACCAACCTACTTCTGCTTCCTTCTACTGCCAAAAAAGGGCTTATTTCTTCACATCTCACATCTTTATTGCTTGCAGGTGGAGGTTTTCACAGACAGTGCAATTAGCCTCCAGAAAGATATCGGGGCCGGGAATTTAACAGGAGAGACTGCAAAAAAAAAAGTATGGGAAAGAGGGGAAAACAACCCAACCAAAAAAGCCCAAACACCAAGCCCCCCATAAAGCAAAAACTAAACTGAAAACAACAGAAGCAGATGGAGCTCTGGTTCGGGCCATACACTGCAAAATTCACTACAACATCTCAAAGTAAGGAGAAGGACCATTTGGAAGCTCTGAGTAAACATCAGCTAAGAAGAGGTAAGACTTTAAAAATAAAGGCAAGGGAAGGAAAAGATGATAGCTGTAAGTTAAGGAGAAAAGACATGCAGGCAATTAGAACAATAAGAAAGTGACAAGGGCAAAACATCAACACAAGACATTCACAAGGATTCAAGGTAAAAAACCCCTAAAACTAAAAGTAAACATTACAGGGCATTTGAAAGCTATCAGAGGGAAAACCTAAGAATTTAAATACAGCACCAGTATAGAGTGCAATCAGACATGGTTAATTAAAGATGTTTACCCATATGTCTGTTCTCAGAGATTTGCTGGTCAGTGGTAACTGATCGAACATATTTTGTCAACCCATGTCAATATGAAAGCACTTTTAAGTGTGACACTGGGAGCGAGGCAACAGGTTTTCACTCCTTGATACAACCTAATAAGAAGATTCCACTTGAAGCAGCTTTAGAAATGAAAAGCAAAAGCATGAGAAACCAAACCAGAAATCCCCAGACTAAGCTATAGTTGGTGCACTGCTGCTGTGCAGATGTGGATGTGTGGACAGGCACTGTACAGGACACCCAGGCAGCCTGATCCCCTGCAGCACAGAGAGATGGCAGGACAGCAGAAGTGCAAATACAGCCTGTGCGTCTGGACAAGATCGGTGGCCTCAGGACAGAAGGGTTATTCAGTGAATACTTCAGGTGACTTTAATGATACACCAGATTACCCAGTATTTCTTTTTGACAAAAAGTGCAGCAGTACAATCCAATTACGTATCTGCCTTAGGCTTATCCTGCAGACAGGACTGATTTCCCTAAACTTCCTAAAAGCTTTATTATCTCAGTTCTGTCCAATTCAAACTTTAATTATTTTTTACAAAGAGGCTTATCTCAGTTGCTGCTTTGTTTGAATGTTTGCATTAATTCATTGCAATGGAAAAAGTAGTACATTGCACCCAAAAGTGTTAGGGAACCCTGAATTTCATGGACTGTATTATAAACTGTTTAACAAATAAAAGCAAATCTATTTATTTTAGTCAGTGGAGTATTTTGAACATTTTTAACAGCTGTATACTGCAAGGAAGAATGAGAGTTACCAGCTACCGAAACGCAGTTGCTGGAGACCTTCAGTTTCCCTCCTTAAAGTAAATCTGATCTTTTTCCTTACTGTTGCACCTCCTCAAAAACTAGGACTAAACGGTTTTTTCTTTCCCTTTAAGCAAATTTTCAGCACTCATTGCTGAAAAACTTCAAAATATGCTCAGTGATAAAATACTAAAGGAACAAAAAAAATTACCTTTTCTTGAGTTAGTTTCATGATGCTGGGAGTGTCTAACCAAGGTACAAGTTAGTCAAATCTGTGAATAATAAAGTCACTCAAGAAAGACCAAGCTGCATGACCACAACGTGGAGAATCAGCATATATTCATGCCTTGTCAGCTTGTGAAGCTAGCAGCATAGAGTCTACTTGAAAATAAGCCTTTTTCATCAGATGGATTATCTGGGAGTTTGTTCTGTTGTTGATGGAGCTCATCTTTCTCTGCCTTTGCTTAGAACTTCACAGAATACTTTGGAAACCCAAAGTCCAGCCAGTGCCTCTACCAAGCAACACAAGCCTGCTCCACTGAGTGAACTACCCCAGCTTTAGCTGCCAGCTCAGTGTGCTTTTGAAAGCAGCTTATGCAGTGCCATTGCAGGCATCAGACCTCAAAATTGAAGTTTTTGCATTTCGCACTTCATTTCTTGTCTGGGGGAGGAGGGATGAGAAGGAAGGTTTTACCAGCAAGCAGCTGCAAAGCAGCTGTTGTTAGCTGCTGTCTCCTGCCTATTATTTTTAATCAGAACAGCATTGCAAAAAAAATCACTAAATCACTACCTTAACTACCGCACCTGCAAGCCCACTTTCCATGCAAAAGCCGGCGGTGAGTTGGAATAGTTGCAGAGATTTGGGTTCATCACCATGTCAATATACACTTCAAAGGCTTTGTTATCAAACTTTAGTTTTGAGCCTGATTCTTCTATCAGACACAACATCACTGAAGTCAATGTAGATGCCTCTATAAAAGAGGAATTCAGTCTATTGTCTTCACTAAATGATGTTTAGTTTGTTTACAGCAGAGTACTCCAAGAGAGAATGCCCAACGGTAATTTTGAAATCTAACATAAAATAGAAAGGCAAACCAGCTCTGCACTTCTAAAGGAGACTATTTTCTGTAGTGCAGGATCTGCCATAAATACGGCATCAGCAGGCAGACTACTGGCACTTAAAATTGATAGGATGGAAGTTATCAAAGCCAACATGACAAAGTAGTGGGTACCAAAGCAGGAACCCTGTGGGACCCTGAGCAACTGGATCATATGACAGCACCTTCCTATGCTAGGGAAGATACGATGGAGAAATATATCAACTATGCTTAAAACCTGTGGGGGTTTTTTTGTGTCTTTCAAACTCCAGATCTGCTTTTAATTACAAAATGGCAGTAGAAGGTACAAATATGCTGCCACGAAAGCAGAAAAGGGGGGAATACAGAAAGCTATCTTTGCTACCAATACATTATTAAATTCTTTTCTTTGACATCCTGACAGTAATTGCACTGAATGGGATTGAATTTTGTTAAAATTACTTTGAAAGGGTTGTTGAGAATTTCCTGTGGGATGCAGTGGCAAGCACCAAGGCTTTCACTTCATTTTCTCTGTTGTCCTTACACTCCCAAGGGGCTTATTGTTCATCCTGCTTTTTGACAGCATGAAGGCCTGTGTAAACACCCTCTAAAAAGAGAAAGCTTCACCAGATATTGCCATTTGGGTTTGTTTTCCTCTGTCAGAGGGAAAGATAAATATTCCTACCTGATTCACAGCTGAGCTTGTTGCAAGTATATTTTTAGCAACCAAGCAGCTTTCCTGATAGAAGGAATGAAACACAAACGATTACATGAAATTATATATAGAAGAGTTACTTTTTTTTCAGTAAGCAGCTAAGGAGTCCTGCAGCCTGGCGACCCCTCACTGAAGATGTAGCTCCCGCACTCAAGAACTTGCAGTCTTCATCCATTGTAGTAGATAAAATATTTACAGTTTTAAATACATCTATACAGTCAAACATGAGTTTGGGGTTTTTTTAACCTCTCTAAATAAAATGAGGTTTCTTGAAGGTTTGCTTTGTTCCAGGTTTTTTTAATTTTAGGCTGTTAACACATTGGTGCTTCTTAGCAGAAGCATCTCCATTGAGTTCTGGGTCCCGGCTCTTTTCCAAAGATCAGAGGGCTTTTCTACCATGCCAAGTCTTGACAGTACATCATGAAGCTTACCAAGTTACGTTCATCAAATAATGTAAGCAATTTCATGCAACTTACTTCATCTGGCTTTTTTTCAACCCGAGCTATAGAACACGGTAAGTCATGTATATTATTCCCTGAATAATGCAGACAAATCCAGTAATTTTTTGTAATAAAATCGTCAGTGAACACTTCTCAATGTTCTGCCTCATTCAATGTGAATGATGAAAGCATCTGGAGGGGAGACAAACAGCAGACCACTTTCTGGCCTATGATGCCATGTTTTGTTTCACACTCAGTGAATGCAAACACCCACAGATCACCACATAGATGAAAGTGCTGTTATTTTTACCTGCTTTAAAAATAACAACATAAACGACAACAGAACATTGCCATTTCATCCAGGGTGAGAATGAATCAGACTTTTGCACTATTTTTTCCCCTCTGCAGTCTGTTTTTAGAGTTGCCATAGTCAAAAGCCCAGGATGCTGAAGGACAACTCCTGGGGTAACTATTATTCTCACTCCCTTTTTTGCTCATGGAGAGCCAGGATAATAAATCTGGATCACACCACCAATGTTTTTGCTGCATTTCTACACTGCTCTACATACTTTGTTTGCAGAGTAAGGCAAGACATTCAGCGGTTAAGCCGGAGAAAATACTTGCAGATATACTGCCTGTGAGTCTGTCAAATTTTATCAGTTTGAGCAGAATTGGACCTGCTCATTATCCAGATGGAAGACTCCCAAAAAGCAGCTCTGTGGCACGCTGTGATTTGAGAAATAGATTGGATGGAGTACTCTGCCTTTGGGGTAAGGATTAATCCACTGCCACAGGGCCAGACAGACAGATCTCAGCTGCCAGATGCAGCAGAGCATGTCAGTATTCCAAGGGCTGCTTCCTCCCCCGGTTCACAAAGGTCCTTCATGCTTTGGTCTCTGTGAGCTGTGTTGTTCAGAGAAAGAAGGGTGATGGAGAAAATGGCTGTGAGCTTGCAGCATCTGTATGGGAACTCAAGCTCCTTGGGCTCATGTTCTCTGTGGACCCCAAAGCCTTGCCTTCTTCCCACCACAGTCATCTGTTGATTCTATCTTGTACCTAGTGAACAAGCTATTTTGGTACAAAACGTGGGTTTGAATCTTCTCTGAAAAAGAAGGGAACCAAAGCCAAGCCCACCAACCCCCCATAAGCACTGCAGCCACTATGCAGAAGGTAAATTTTTCAGGGAGAGGAACTGCTGCTGCTGAACTCAATACTGCTGTTAAAACCTAAACATGTTCATCTGTTCCTGACGGGTTTTCCTCTGCCCATCTCAGAAACTTTGACCTTTTTCCTTCCTCTCTCTCTGTACATACTGGATATCGATTGATCCCTTAAAGCAGTAAGTAGACTTCTGCCTTTTCCATGCCCCGAACTGTGGGGTTAATAACTTAAAGAGGTCAGCAAGTCAGTTGTTAAGAGCAAACCTGCAGAACAGACCTGGCTGCTCAAATATTTATATTACAGTGGTACGAGAAATTTAGCTTGAGATAAGACCTCGCTCGGTACACCTGACATTGTATACCTGTCCCTAATGGATCACAGGGAAGACACAGGTAGAATCAAGACAAAAAAAGCAGTTTTCAGAGCACATGGACTTCCACCAAGCCAGATGCACCCAACAGTGTTGCACAGTGGTAGGTAGCTCAGCAGACAGCTGGGCACAGCTGGAGGAGCTGGCTGTGGGCTGCCTTCAGGCAGTTTGCCAGCTGCCTGCACAGCAGCCCTGTGGAAGGGAGTGTACAACAGCTCCCCATCTTCCACAGACTCAGAGGAGACAAGAAAATTAAGACCCAGACTCTCAAAGTATTCACATGTCTTAACTCCTACAACATGCCTAAATAACCTAAAAGGATGAACGTACACAACCTGCTCAGCATTATAAGGGAAGTATATGGGAGTCCAGACTTAACACCAGTTGGCCCAAGTTAGAAAGTGGAGCCTTCTTCTTGGACAATACCCTAAGAAGAGAAGAGGAGACATACTGGGTCAGAGCAAAGGTCCACCCAGCCTACCATCCTCACATCTCCACAGCAACCAAGAGCCTCTAGGCAGAGAAAGGGAAAGGAAACCACATGTGATACCTCTACCTGTAAGACGAACTGAACGGTTGCATAGTCTGCATTGTCCTTCACAGTCTTCAAACTTGTGAGGTCCTGCTGAGGCAATATAACAAATGGAAAGAGCAGCAGAAGCAAGGGACTTCCATAGTCCCATTTAGGCCTCATCCCAGCTGTGCCTCTGCAAGGCTTTGGGCAAATCCGTTCACCTCTCTATACCGCTGTATTCTACCACTAAAACAACAGACACAACCACCTCCTCAAAGAAATAGTGAAATGATTCATCAGTTAATGTTGGTACAGAGCTTTGTAGAGGAAAAATAGTGCTTACAGGGAAAGATCCCTCCTTTAGCAAAGCACAGGCTTATTTTTCAGGACATGGAGTCAGCATGGCTTCCATGTGCTTTCCTGAAGCTACACACTTACTGAAGTGCCTTCTGCAGATACTTTATAACATCTAAAAAATGGGCATAACAGTATCATGAAGATTTACCAAAAAAGCTGTCAGGAATATGTTTTTATAAGGAACCCTCCTTACCATAAAATAAATTCCAAATTACCACTTGGAGGCTCTGAGATAAATTTTACCAGAGAGAGTTTTTAAGATTACCTGTGAACTACTCCTGCCCGGTGCAGATGTTCAACTGCCAGGATCAGCTGCCGGATATATTTGCGCGCTTCATGCTCCTCAAGTCTCTTCTTCTCGTAGATCTTGTGCATCAGGTTGCCACCAGGGCACAGCTCCATGACAAGGTAGTAGCTGTTTTCAGTTTCCAGTATATCCAGCAGCTGAGCAATATTGGGGTGGCGGATCATTTGCTGGATCTGCCCTTCCCGTCGGAGATTCTTAGTGACATAGGTGTCCTTTTTGGCTCTCTTCTTGTCAATTACTTTCACTGCCACCTAATGAACAAACAGACGAGAGGGGGTTGTTAGCAGTCACACTGATGATGTATTGCTTTAATCTTGTTTTAAAAAAAAACAAACAAAAAGGGTATCAGTCTCAACTGATACACCACGGTTTCAGGCACAATTGCACAGGTCACAGAAATAGAGAGAAATAGCTGGTTTTCCAACCCCATTGACAGTTTCTTTCTTTATTCCCTTGTACAATGACAGACAAAAGTTATTGCAAGGGAACAGGTAACAAAGAAAAGGAGACAATCTTGTTAACCATACCCAAACTCTTAGCACACTTAATGCTGGGCATTTATTTTATCTATTTTCCCAGAAAGTCTTCAGGCTGGTGTTTACAAGTTTTACATGTCATTTCTGGTATTTCCTGGCTTTAGATACATGACTTCAGATGATACACTTCCACGGCAAGTTGCTAACACTTGCCAAGTGCTAGTTTTGCATGATTACACAGAATAAAAACATACTATGAAAGACAAAATAATTTTGGTACCACGCTCTTGGCACTTCTTCCCCTCCCCCCCCCCCCCC